CATTAGACGACAGGCACAGTACCCCTCTCCCTTCTGGCTGGGGGCATGACATTTCCTTCTGGCTGGGGGCATGACTTTTCCTCTTGGATTAGTAACCTGGCAAGAGCGACATCTGGAAAGACAGCTCCCAATCATTTTGGTTAGATCGAAGATGTGGTATGGAATCAGGAGTTCCCGTAACTTTCCCTTTCCTAGGTGGGTCCCTTTGTGAAGTTTATATATTAAGTCCTCTGCCAGCTTATGCAGCAGAATGAGCCTCCCATCAGAGGTGTATCTCCATCCATGCTTGATCTTGGTATTTTCCTAGGAAGTTAAATCCTGATCGTCCTGATCTGAGTAGGAGGGCTCTTCTGGCATGAGGGGTTCAGGCAGGATAACCAGTAGGTTTGAGGCTGTTGGGGCTGCTTCTCTGGCTGCTAGGTCTGCTCTCCCATTTCCCTGTGCCTCCAGTGAATCCCCTTTTTGGTGCTCCAGACAATGGATGATGGCCAGTCTCTTTGGTAACCATATGGCTTCCAGGAGCTTTAGGATCCCTTGTTTATTTTTGACAGTCTTTCCTTCCATTGTCAGGAGCCCCCACTCCTTGTACACAGCCCCATGGACATGAGCTGTAGCGAAAGTGTAATAATGGCTATCAGTGAAAATGTTAACAGTCTGGTCTTTACTTAGCTTTAAGGCCTGAGTCAGGCCAATTACTTCAGCCCTCTGGGCAGAGGTCCCAACTGGTAGGGAAGAGGCCCACACTGTCCATGATGGACTGACGACCGCTGCCCCTGCATACCTGGTTCCTTTCTTAATGAAGCTACTTCCATCCGTGAACAGAATTATGTCCGGTGGGGCCATGGAACATCAGTCAGGTCTTTCTGAGTCCTGTGTAAGCTGCAGAGTACCTCCAGGCAGTCATGCAGGACCTCAAGATCTGGTTCTGGCAGCAAAGTGGCAGGATTGAGAGGTGCTAGAGAGGAACTGGATGTGAGGGGGATTAAGGAGCAAGACCTGATAATTCATCAACTGAGCATTGTCATCCATCGGTCGGGGGGATTTTTAAGGACCCCCCTCAATTGAGTGAGGGGTGGTGACCATAAGGGGCTGTCCCAATGTGAGCTTATCTGCATCTTTAACCAATAAGGCTGTGGCTATGATAATTCTGAGGCAGCCCAGCCATCCTGAGACCACAGGATCAAGCTTTTTCAACAAGTAAGCCACAGGTCTCTTCCAAGGGCTGAGCATTTGGGTCAGGACTCCCTTCACTATTCCCACTCCTTCATCAACAAAGAGCTGATAAGGCTTATGGATATCTGGCAGAGCCAAGGCTGGAGCCTGCAATAAAGGCTGTTTAATTTCTTGAAGGGCCCTCTCCTGAGTCTCAGGCCATAGGAAGAATGACTCATTTCCTCGAGTGGCTTCATACAAGGGTTTTGCCAGCTCAGTGAATCTGGGTATCCAGAGCTGGCAGAAGCCTGCTGATCCCAAGAACTCTAGCTTGGGCTTGGAATTCCCATAATGGCTTTCTTTCTGGCTGGTGACAGCCACCTCTGCCCATCCCTTAATATGTACCCCAAGTACATTACCTCTGTGACACAGAGCTGAGCCTTCTTGGTGGAGACCTTATACCCCAACTGGTCCAAGGTCAGGAGCAAATCTCTGGTGGCCTAAAGACAAGTGCCCTCATCCTCAGTGGCAATTAACAACAGGTCATCTATGTACTGTAGGAGGCTTATCCCTGGGTGGGAAGCCCAATAATCCTGCAAGTCCTGGTGTAGGTCCTCATCAAAGATCGTGGGGGAGTTCATGAACCCTTGTGGCAGTCACATCCAAGTGAGTTGTCCACTAAACCCCTGGTTTGGGTCTCTCCACTCAAAGGTAAAGATGGGTTGACTTTCCTTTGCCAAGGTCAGGCTAAAGAAGGAGTCCTTGAGATCTAGAACAGTATCGACCCTTCTTCCTGGAGAAAGTGAGCTCAGCAGGGTATATAGATTGGGGAGGGTAGGGTGGATTTCCTCTACCCTCTTGTTAACTTCTCTCAAATCCTGCACTGGGCAGAAATTGTTAGTCCCCAGTTTCTTGATGGGTAACAGAGGGGTGTTCCATGGAGATTGCCATGGAACCAGAATACCAAACTCCCTAAGGTTTGGTAATTCCTGCCCTAGCTTCAAGAGTCATTGGGTACTGCTTTACTCTTACAGGCTGAGCATTAGTTTTTAAAGTCACCATTATTGGTGGCTGTTGGATGGCCTTCCCTGTGGAATTAGTTTCCACCCAAACCCAGGGTTTGCTGCCTGGAGGTCCTTGAGGATAGCGGTTGGTCTCTTTTGAGGGGGTGGGGCGTGCACTCTCCATTCTTCTTCTAGTTGTAAGCATAGGATATAGGCAGCATCTGGTACAGTCACATTAGGAGGTCCTCTCCCAGAGAAATGGATTTGAACCTTCATTTTATTTAGCAAATCTCTACCCATTAAGGGATATAGGCACTCTGGGACCACCATAAAGGAGTGTGAAACTGTCTTTTTACCTAAGTTTACTTCCCTTTTGGTGGTCCAAGTGTGCTGAGCGATTCCCGTGGCTCCTTGCACCCAGGTTGTTTATTGGTCAATTTTCCCATAGGCTCTTTTAAAACTGAATATTCTGCTCCGGTGTCAGCTAGGAAGTCGACAGCTCATCCCTCCACTTGTAGGGTCACCCAGGGCTCGTGGTGGAGGTTCACCAAGTCCGGGCCCCTTCAGTTTTCTAAGTTTGCCAACTCGAGGATCTTGGGCTTGGAGGGAGACTGGGATCCCATCCTTTGAGGACATTCCCTAGCCCAGTGGCCCAGCTGCTTACGGTACACTCACTGGTCTCTTTTTAAGTGGTGCCAACCTTCCTGTGGGGGTCGTGGGGCTCAGGTTCCCTTTTTCATAGAGGGTTGGTTCCCCCCATTGGTTCCCCACATGTTTCTCTTTCAGTCAACCATATCTTATCCAGCCCTTTTTGTCTTTCTTTAGGGGTTTCTCTGTTGTTAAATACCTTGTTCGCCACTGCCATCAGCTCAGAAGGTTTTTGCCCTCAAAACCTTCCAGTTTTTGAAGTTTTCGTTTTATGTCTGGAGCTGCCTGATTTACAAAAGCCATATTGATGGCCATTTTATTCTCTGGGTCCTCTGGATTTATGGGAGTATAAGTTTTGAAAGCCTCTAACAGGCGTTCCAGGTACGCTCCAGGAGACTCATCCCTTCCCTGCATCACCTGACTTCACCGCTTGTTTGCATTCCCGAAGGATGTGGTTCCATTCCTCGGTGGTGAACAGGGTATTTAATAACTATTTCCAGTGGTAAACAGTGGGTAAAAAGGATGGTATCCAGGAGGGAAATCAGGGCCTGCGGCTCCTCCGTGAAGGAGGGAGACTGTAACTTTCAATTATACAAGTCACTAGTAGAAAAGGGAAAGTAGACTACTAGGGCAATTCCATCATCCTTCAGGGGCCCAATCTCCCTCAGGGGAAGAGCTTACACAGTTCTCCCCTCCCCCCACGAGCAAGTGGGCAATGGGCTGGGCTCGGCCACGGGAGGTGCCGGCTCAGCCATGGGAGCTGGGGATGGAGACTGGGAAGGACTGGAAGAAGAGGAAGATGCTCATGACCTGTGCTCTCTAGGTCTATCCTGAGCACTCACTGGGGCCCCGTACGGTGGCGGGAGTAAATCCTCCTCTGGCGCCAAGGGAAGAACCTCGGGACCGATGGGTTTTTGGTCTGGACTTTCTTTAGGGGAAGCAAAGTAGCTGGCCCCTTAGGTCCCAATGGTGGGGGCAGAAGTAAGGGATGCAGCCAGTCAGGGGGGCAGCAACCAGATATCACCAACCTAGAATGTATGGGATCTGCTCAGGGTGCCCCTGTTCCCCAAAGATAACTTCTTGAACCCTGTAGATGAGCGACAGGTTAAAGGACCCTTAAGGCAGCCATTCAACTTCAAAGGAGGGCCATTCGATTATGCAGAGGGTCTGGAGGAGGGTCGGCTTGACGTGGAGTCCAGACATGTTCGAAGCTGCTCATTTGTAGTCCTGAAAATGACTAAGAACTAGATGAAGGGGAGCTGAAGATGATGAGACTTTCTGGCCCATCGTGGGATAAGCTTCAAGAAAAAAGAATATAAGGAGAGGGATGAGAATGAGAAGAAGTAGGGTGGAAAGTCGATAGACAAGGCGGAGCTCTGAGCAGAGGGTGAGGACAGTATGAGATGGTGGTTCCCTAGAGGGAGAATTGAAAATCTCGCAGCACATGGGGTCAGCCGAGAAGGCTGCCCCTGTTCTTTCCCAAAAAGATTTGGCCAGCCTGGATTCCGCATTGGACTGGGCCAATAATCTGGGTCGGCTCCACCTGGATTCCACGTCAGACTGGAGCACGACTCCTCAATAGAAGAGGAGTTGGAGTGTCCCCCCGTTCTCCTTCAGCTCTGGGATCAACAGCACATCTGCCTCATCTCTGTTGAGCCCCAGGATGTCCCAACTACTGAAAAGCAAGACAGAGAGAGAGAGAGAGAGAGAGAGAGAGAGAGAGAGAGAGAGAAAGGCAGGGAAAACTTACCAAGGCTGGCTCCGGTGGCGCTTCCGTGGGTCTGGGGTCTCTATTCTCAAATCCCGGACTAGCCCCCACAATGTTAGGGTTCTAGAATCATGAATAATTCCCACAGATACACAAAAAGATTATATAAAAGCTTATTTAATAATTTAAAGAGAAAAAAAGATAACCAAATGGCGGCTAGCTGGGCACAGACTTCATGAGCCAAATATGGAGTCTGGCCCCGAACAATAGCAGGCAGGAGCTTTTATTGGGGCACTCCACAGAAATCCTGCACATGCCAAGCATTTTTTAAAATAATTGGATGTCCCCATATCTTGTGTACGGGGAAAGTCTTGATTGGTAGGGGCTGTCTTCAGGGCATTGGAATGTGCTGACTAATATCTTTTAGAGTCAGAAGTTTTTGTTCATACCTTATAAGGCTTTTACATGTACAATATGCCTGAGCTTGTCTGGGCTTGTCTAAAGAAGCTAGCCAAAATGGAGTCAGAGCATTCTGGCTCTTCATTAACCAGTTAAACCTTTTTGCTACTCCTATCAATGAGGTGCTGGGAACTGAACCTGAGTCTTCTGGATGAGCAGTAAGTGGTTTTTTTTTTTTTTTTCATTTTGTTTCCATTTTGTGTGTGGGCGGGGAACGTGTTTATGTGAAGGTCATGCATGTGAAGGTCAGCAGCTGACATTAGTGTCTTGCTCAATAGCTCTCCACTTTATTTTTCGAGAAAGAGTCTCTCACCGAACGTGGAGCTCACTGATTTGGCTAGGCTGACTGGCCAATGAACCCAAGGGATGCTTCTGTCTTTGCCTCCTCACTGGTACAACTCTTATAGATACTTGTCACTGCACCTTTTACATTTAGTAAAAGGCATTTACATTAGTGCTACAGATACAAATTCAGGTCCTCATACTTGCACCTCAAGCCCTTTACTGACTGAACCATTTCCTCGGCCCCATATTTACTTAATTTTGCGTGTGTGTGTGTGTGTGTGTGTGTGTGTGTGTGTGCACCTATGTGTGACATGGTGTGGAGGCTAGAGAACAACTCTGGGTTGCTAGTTCTCTCCCTCTACCTTGAGGGCCCCAGGGGCCAAACTTTGGCAGCAAAAACTTGTATTTGCTATACCACCTCACTGGTACAACTGTTTCTTTGAGACAGGGTTTTCCCTCTGTTACTCAGGGCGGCCTCAAATTACTGGCAATCCTCCTGTCTCAGTCTCAAGAGTACTGAGATTGCAGGTGGGAATCAGCATGCCCAGTGCCCTGCAGACATCTTCACCTTAGACTGCCAGCCTCTGAGACTGTGATGGCTGAGTTTCTGGGTTTACACCAGTGTGACTCAGCCCTGACACTTTGTCACAGCAGCCCCAAGCAGGTGAGTGCTAGGACCTTCTTTCCCTGAGCACCCAAGACACCAAGTGCTCCAGGTGAAATGGAGAGGCCACTGTCCTGCGCCTGCTGTTACTAACTAACCACTGGAATTGGTCCTGAGATGGACAGCAGGTTGCTAAGGAGGGGAGGAAGGAGATGATTGAGAGAGAGACAGAGAGAGACAGAGACAGTTTATGGATGAGGCTGGGGGAGATCCCCTCCCCCACCTCCACAAGGTAGAGCACATGCATCAGCTTCCACAGGTCTGGAGGAGACTCCTCCATCTCTCCCTGGCACTATGTACTCCAGGAAAAACCTGGGCAGGCCACTGTGGTGGTCTTGGGCTAATTCCTGCTGAGGACACACTTGGGCTAGATATTGACAACAGAAACTCTGAATGCTCAAACTCTGTTCTGTGCAGTGGCTGCCGTGAAGGCCTTCTCCAAACACCGGCCAGGTTTTCAAATCTCCACCATACCCCCAGAACCCTAATTCTCCCATAAATGGATCAGACAGACCTTAGCCTCTACCACGTGCCCCAAGAATTCAGAGCTAGGTGGGCTGAGCAGGCTCCTTTGCAGCTCCCCATACCTGAGGTTTCCTTCCAGCCCTTTGTTGTCCCTGTGGGAAGTCCTCAGGCTGTGCCATCCCAGCTAAGCAGACACCTGGAGCCATGGGGTGTGGGGACACTCAAATCCCCCAAGGCAAACAGACTCAAATGAAAGGAATATTGAATCTTGCTTCTTGTTTTCGCTTAAAAAACAATTCTAAACTAGGAAAGTATACATTTGAATTTTCATTGAGATTTTTAAGAAAAGGCTGAATTTCCCCTTTTTAGTTTAGGTTTGTTTTGTTTGTTTTGTTTTGTTTGGGACAGGGTCTCTCTGTAGCCCAGGATGACCTGGACCTCACTCTGTAGAGATCACTCATAGAGATCTGCCTGTCTCTGCTTTCCAAGTGCTGTGATTAAAGGCCTGTGCCATTATCCTTGGCTTGAACTGCACTTTTTTTTAAACCATTATACAAGTGATTTATTGATCTATCATAAAATGACTTTACTGACAAAGCAGTTTAAAACATTATTTGTATTTATACAATAGTTTGTTTTGAAAATATTATAGTAAGTATCATTTCTAAGACTTTTATTAGACTATCAAAAAGTTACTGGATTTTTGAAATGGATATTTTTACTGCTAATAGTAATGGAGATGTGTATTCTTTTCTGATGCAGAGATGATCTGTTTTCAATTAAACTGTTATTTATCACTGTCACTGAAGAACCCTTCCTGACACATCAAATGTAGATGTGGCCATGTGACCAGCACTAATGAATACTCGTCTGGCATTTCTCTGAGAAAATGTACAACAGGTTTTCCAAAGCGAAGCCTCTTAGGTTTGAGGAAAACACAACATACAGAGGAGATAATATCAGTCTTACCAGAAGTTTAAAAGTTTGGAAAAATTTCTAAAAACTTCCTTCACTTTTCTAATCTTTTTTTTTTAACTTTTACAAAAACCTTACTGAGAATTTCATACATGCATATAAGGTGTTTTGATCAAATCCATGCCCTCTCCTCCCTTCCAACATCTCCCATACCTCCCCGTCACTTTTTTCTTTCTTTTCTTTCTCCTTCCTTCCTTCCTTCCTTCCTTCCTTCCTTCTTTCTTTCTTTCTTTCTTTCTTTCTTTCTTTCTTTCTCTTTTTGAAGCAGGGTCTCCCTGTAGCCCCAGCTGTCCTGGAACTCACCATGTAGACAGGCTGGCCTTGAGCTCACAGAGATCCTTCTGTCTCTGCCTCTCAAGTGCTGGGACCACAGGCATGCACCACCACACCCGGCTTCATTTATTATTTTTATGGGGCTTTTGAGTACTCTAACATCCCCTCCTTTGAAGAGGTAACTCTAAAATCTTTTAAGGAGTAGATACAAGTTCCCAAATACTTTTTGACGTTTTTGGCTTTTGGAACAGAGTATGTTGCTAACAGTCCCAAGGACATTTTGACTTTTAGTCAAGAAACTGGCTACTTTTCTTTGGGGTCATTTTACCCTAACTGCCTAGCCAATTCGTACCTCCTATTCTTATCACGCCATCCTCTGAAGGGGTTACCCAAATTGCCATTGGGAACAGGGATGCAGACCACTCTAGCTTCTTCCATGCTGAACAGGGACATAGGGTGAGGCAATTGGAGTACCCCTTCAGTGGGTCTGTCTAAAAGACTCCTAAATTGCATAACTCTTATCTCTAAGGGGAAAAAAAGTCCTTGAATCATGAATAGAAGATGTGAAGGAGGAGTAAAGGCAAGAGTAATTAGCATTACAAGTTCTAGACAGGGAACTAGAAAAAAGTCAGAAGAGTGTTTTAAGTGAAAACAAGAAGCAAGATTCAATATTCCTTTCATTTGAGTCTGTTTGCCTTGGGGGATTTGAGTGTCCCCACACCCCATGGCTCCAGGTGTCTGCTTAGCTGGGATGGCACAGCCTGAGGACTTCCCACAGGGACAACAAAGGGCTGGAAGGAAACCTCAGGTATGGGGAGCTGCAAAGGAGCCTGCTCAGCCCACCTAGCTCTGAATTCTTGGGGCACGTGGTAGAGGCTAAGGTCTGTCTGATCCATTTATGGGAGAATTAGGGTTCTGGGGGTATGGTGGAGATTTGAAAACCTGGCCGGTGTTTGGAGAAGGCCTTCACGGCAGCCACTGCACAGAACAGAGTTTGAGCATTCAGAGTTTCTGTTGTCAATATCTAGCCCAAGTGTGTCCTCAGCAGGAATTAGCCCAAGACCACCACAGTGGCCTGCCCAGGTTTTTCCTGGAGTACATAGTGCCAGGGAGAGATGGAGGAGTCTCCTCCAGACCTGTGGAAGCTGATGCATGTGCTCTACCTTGTGGAGGTGGGGGAGGGGATCTCCCCCAGCCTCATCCATAAACTGTCTCTGTCTCTCTCTGTCTCTCTCTCAATCATCTCCTTCCTCCCCTCCTTAGCAACCTGCTGTCCATCTCAGGACCAATTCCAGTGGTTAGTTAGTAACAGCAGGCGCAGGACAGTGGCCTCTCCATTTCACCTGGAGCACTTGGTGTCTTGGGTGCTCAGGGAAAGAAGGTCCTAGCACTCACCTGCTTGGGGCTGCTGTGACAAAGTGTCAGGGCTGAGTCACACTGGTGTAAACCCAGAAACTCAGCCATCACAGTCTCAGAGGCTGGCAGTCTAAGGTGAAGATGTCTGCAGGACACTGGGCATGCTGATTCCCACACTGTCAAGTGTGTTACAGTGCTGTAACTCTAGAACCTGTAATTCCAGTTCCAGGGGATCTGATGCTTTCTTCTGGATTCCATGGGAACCTGCACACACACACACACACACACACACACACACACACACACACACATACACATATACATCTATATTAAAAATAAAATCTTTAAAAAAATAAATTTCTAGAAGTGAAAAATTCATGTTTTAAATTGTGTGCTCTTCTGAGTAGAGTGATAAAACCTTGGGTGGTTCCATTCCATTCTGCCCAGCATGGGAATCATCCTTTGTCCTGTGTACCCATGCTGTGCATGCTGGCTACCATTAGTCATTTAGCAGCTGTCTTAGTTATCAGATTGACTGCCACATTTGTGGTGTCTGTGCTCAAGTGATCCTGATTTTGCCTAATAATGTCCCTAAAGCCATTATTAAGAGTAGTGATACTGGCAATTTGGAATGGCAGAAAGCTGTAAAGTGCTTCCTTTAACTGAAAAGGCAAAAGCTCTTGACTTTACCACAAGTATGTTTGCATAGGAAAAAGCACAGCGTACGTGAGTTTCAGCAATTATGGAGCATCTCAGAGCACATCTCTGCAGAAGCTACTATGGTCATGGTATGTAAGTGTCACCCTCTGGCTTTTTGTGCGTCTAGTTTTGCTTCTTGTGCATTCTGCATCCCTCTTCAAACACTAGATCCTTCCCCTCCACTGCCACAGAGAGTTCCGTCATGGAAATCCTCAAGGGAATCCCATACAGATGTGCTGGTGAAGTTGGCAGTATAACCCCACAAGTGGTTGGCTCTCCACCGTGAACACACTTAGCTTTTTAGGCAGTGTTTGGTGAATCTCACGACACCTGTGGCTTTGTGTGTAAGCACAGCAGGCCCAGTTTCATGGATCTTTTATAGATATTGCTCAACTCATTAGTTTCTCAACCCAGGGTGTACACACTTGGCTTTCACAGTTT